TACTTGCTATAGGCTTCATATGACACAAGTCTCAGTAACATTTTTGGTTTTTTTTTGGTGTACTTTTCATGTAATCCATTGACATTTAATACCGTACTTCTAAAAGATGTCCCGGTTGTTCTGGAATCTTGCTTCAATTGGTGTCACTGAAAACAGAGAATGTATCAAGAACTGCTGAAGATATAACGTACCTACCTGCCCTTTACATGAAATGGAAACCTGATAAATTTTACAACTCTTGCAGCTGACTGTAGTGCTGCCTACTCTTTAAACTTAATGGCAGGTGGGTGAGAGTGTCTTAGTTTAATCTGCACTTTCACCCTAAGCAAAGTTCAGTAGCTATTCTTGAAAACTTCACATGTGTAGTCTCTTATTTATTATAAAAGCATGCAGTCAAAGTACTACCAGGGAGAAGTTATTGACATAAACTCTAAACAGACTGGGGCAAATATAGAGAAGAGCATCAGTTTTAGTTGTTACTGTCTGTGGACAGCCTCTCTGGCTTTTTATTTTTTATTTTTTTAAAGTAATGACACTGTTTGCAGGTCAGATTCTAACAGCATTTACTTGAAAAGAATATTGAGAACCATGTATGAGCATCTACCTTTAATGTCTGTAGGTCCAAATGGCCTTCAGAGAGAACAAAACATTTACAGTGATCCTTTTTCTTACAGCACTGTAGCTTCATTGCTGCTTCTTTAACTCCCAAAATTACCCCACTTTCTTGCCCCTCTTAAAAAGCATTTAATTAATGCAGTGTTTAATCCTTCAGTACCACAAGCACTACATTCCATTCTCACCACAGAAATAAACAATCCACAACTCTATCTTCTTATACCAAGAAGACAAGTTAAGTCTTAAGCAGAGTAAGATGGAAGCATTCTCTAGTCCTCCTCAGCAATCAAAATCATCCAGAATATTACAAGAAATATCATGTAATTCAAATACATAACATTTCAAAATCTTCATAAAGTAGGAAAAGCAAACAAAACAACCATACAAAATAAGACCATGCATATACAATGTATATTTTCTCTCTGTATTCTCTGTATTTAACTGAATTATGATAGACTTTGAAAGCTTTCAAAATGTATTTAATACTTGGCTTTGACATTTACCAACACATTCCTGCACAGCATTCTGAGAAGGGTTTGTGTATATTTTTGTTGTTGTTTGTTTTTTTGTTTGTTTTATTTTATGTGGAATTCAGTTTCTTAAAGTAATTTCCAGGACACCATCTGTCGTTGTCCAAAAGTGAAATTTCAAGATAAAAATTCACTTGCTGGAAAATCCTCAGAAACTGAGACTGCTAAGGAAAGGCAATCAGCCTTTAACTGGTTTTGTACATAAACATCTGAAAGCGGTTGAGCTTGTGGTTTGATGTGAACAGTTTTGTAACCATTTGCCTAGAGAATAAAAAGATCTAAGCATTCACATTCTGCCTTCTGCGCTTTTATCTGTGGGTCAGTCCACAGGCCACTGCTGTATCTTCTGCTTTAGCAGGTCTAAGAATTCTGCTACTGTCTGTTTACTCAGTGGTTGACAGTAGCAGTAAAGAGCATGGATAACTCGTCAGAAAATACTGGTGGACACTCATTTCCTTTGGATTTAAGGAACATGAAGTACATTAGTACTTCTGCTAATGTTCAAAGTAAGAATCTTGTGACTCCTTTAATGCAAAGCCTATCAGAGAAACTGCACATTTCCTAGTTGTTCAAAAAAGTCACAACTTCCAGCTTGGTATGGTTTAAGATTTCAAACATCCAAATAAAACATAGCAATTCAGATCTAAAATATATCCTGAATATATGCTAATGTGTTTTTTTAATCTATATTTTAAATAATTACTGGAAAGTTTACACACTTGATATTAAAGTCATGCTGACTAACCTATGAGGAAGAGCACTCTTTTGAAGCTTTTTCTTTGGTTTAAACAACTGAACAACAACCAAAAATCTATTCACTGGGAGAACAGGAGGAAGTTGGGGAAAACAGTCATAGAGTAACTCTTCCTTTGACCCAGAAAGTGGGCAAAAGAGAGTTCCTTAGACTACCCTTTAACTTGCTAGTTCGGATACTCTCAGAGGGAGCATACAGACCAAACAGTAATAGAACCATATAACCATTATGGTTGGAAAAAAACTCTAAGATCATCTAGTCCAACTGCCCATCTTCCAGCAATAATGCCCACTAAACCATCTCCCTCAGTACCACAGGTGCACAGGTACACTTCCAGGGATGGCAACTTCAACACTTCCCTGAGCAGCCCATTCCAATATGAGACCACTCTCTCAGAGGGCAAAAAAAAGTTTCCTTCTTCATTCACATTTGCAGAGTCTAAATCACCAGCCTCAAGGGATTGCATATTAATTTGAGTAATTCTTTATGCTGCCAGTCAGTAAGATGTGTATGCTGAAGCAAAAAACAGAGATATTTGGGATGAAAAGATTTTATCCTAGATACCTACTTCTCATGGATATTTTTCAAATTGTTTTATCTTAGCTTTTCATGTTACACTCTCTTCTTTGTAAAAGACAATTCTGTTATTTGAAACTTACAGTCTACATAAATGGGATGACAAAAAAAAAAAATCAGATCTGCGACAGTACCTGATAGTTGAATATATATAGATTTTAAATTAAGAACTCAAATTCATTTCTCAGTAAGCGAAAGATTAATCTTTTTGAGAGTGAAGAATAGCTGTTTCTTTTTTCCTGTTTTGTTTCCTTTGTAGTAATTTTAATAGTACCTCAAAGAACATTTGCAGTTAACCTTCACGTTAGAACAGAAGTAGACTATGAACCCTCATAGACATACTGAATTTACATTGTGTTAAATGTATTTGCCTGATGATTAGAGACTGGCTCCCTACAATTAAATTCTAATTACCCCACTTTGCAATAGTCATTTCTTATCTATACTATTGATTCAAATTTTCATTTCCTCTCTTTCTCTAGCAATTTATTCTCCACACCATTTGCTCCTTCCATAACAGCCTATATCATCTCCAGCAATTCTTATTCTACTTCCCAGATGCGGTTTTCACTCTTTGAATCTTTTCAGTTACCAAAAAAGGTTCCTGCCACCAATCCCATGTTGCCTTATTAACCTACATTCTAGAATTTCATTCTACATCTACACAAAATACTTGCATCCCAGTACTGTCTTAACAAGAAAATGTGTTTCAGAAGCCTATACAGTCACAGACTACTCCCAGAATTTCCATACTCTTCACCCTAATCCCACCTATACCTGTACCTCAAAAGTATTTGCAGTCAACATAAGATCCAGGCAAACATAGATTCCATCATATTCTTAGTGGACAAACAGCACAATACACCTCCTCCAAGACTTTTTTTTTTTTTTTTTAACCTTCAAAAACCAGTCATACAGCCCACTGCAAAACAAATGAAGGTAGTTTTTTGTAATCTATAACAAAGATGAAAATCATGCTATTGCAAATACCTCTATGGTACAGAATAGTGAAATAGGCTGTAAACTGTTTGCTGCTTTGGACTTTAAAAAGATTGTCTACATATGACACCTCAGTGTAATGAAAAATACAGTGAGTACCAAAAACACTGAACAGTCAAAATGCTAACATTAGCCAGCACAGATGGTCAGTGATTTCTGGAGGGAAATGCAGTCCTAACAAACTTGACTGCTTTGAACCGTACCCTTGAAAGTTATAATAGACTACAATGTTGGAAAATTATAGATAGATTAAGCTGGATAATTACTTCAGTTACATTGTAGGGCACTGCAATGAAAAACAAAAAGCAAGAGTTGTGTTGTTACCAAAAAAAAAGCAGAAATATTATAATAATATCTGTTATTACTCGTTTTCTGAAAACAGTACCACTGTGTGTGTTCATGTGTACATACAAATTACAGAATCTTGGGAATTGCTTTCTTTTCAAAATTAAGGTCTGTTTAAAAAAACCATTATAAGCAGACAAACATACGAAAGACAAGAACACTGATAAATAGAAAAAAAATTTAAAGCTACTTAAATTGTTTAGCTCACCTTTCCAACAGCAGCAGCCACTCTGTTGGTCTCCCCTGCTCTTTGCTTTCATTGCAGTGTCCAGCATTATGGCTGAAGGAATAGAGTACAGCAGAACCTCGCTAATTTACCTTCTTAATTCACACACCTCGTAATTTGTACACAAAAATTTGCCACTTTCTCAACTCCTTAGGAAAAATCAAATTAAAAATCCTGTACAGGTAGATTCTATCACTCACATTGTTTCACATTAATAAATACAATACACAATATTGACTATTCATTAGTCAATGAATCATTCAACAGTACAGTATTCGTTACTATAAAAACAAATTAAATCAATAAAGACAATACTGTTCATTTAAACATCGCCATGTACCATCGTACTGATTTGAAACTTGGAAATTTTGAAAGGACTGCCACCAATGAATTAGGGAGGCTCTACTGTACTTACATTGTAATGTCCTCATTTATACTCCTTTTTCAACAATTTTCTCCCAACTGCATCACATGGACAAATACCAAAAACGCTTAACTATGTCCTGCTAATATTATAATCAGTGTCCTATCACTGTTTTAATTATTTAGACATTTCCTTTCACAAGACTATTCAGTTCACTGGTTTTTTTTCTGCTCACATTTTTTTCCTGTAATACAGAATACGCATTACCAAGTGAAATTCAGTGCTGATACAGTACTCTGATAAAGATTTGTTTTCACAAATCAAATGATTCACTACCCATAAGAATCATGGAGTAGACCTGCGCTTCAAGCCAGAAACCAGAAAGAAGATTCATCTATAGCCGCCAATCTTTTAATATAACCAAAACATCAGCTGGCGTTTCTGATCTGGGATCATGCTTGTCAAGTTCATGTAAGTAACCAGTTCAATGTCATTCATACACTTCTCCAGGAAAAAAAGAAATGGTGTATTACCACATTTAATCATTTAATTAATCACATTGACAATTGATAATTTTGAAAAGAATCTTACTGGTCGGACATCCCCACATGAGTTGGTAAATTGTCGTGCCAAGCCAAAATCCAGCATATAACACTTCCTACAGGTGCTAGGAAAACGTCCCATTGCAAAGTTAGACTAGGAAGAAAAACAAATACAGATATACATTTTATATACGATATGTATATACACAATATATAATATATATACACGTATATATACTTTAATACGTGTACATACTAACACAGTTACACTGTCACAGAAAACCCATGTTCTACTTCTCTACCTTTCCTTCCATATTTTCAGTTCTTTTAAACTCCCACTGAATTTGAAGAAAACATTAGGAACATCAGACACTCAGCTTGCCATATTTGAACCACAAATTAGATGGCCCAAATAGATTGTTACCTGACCTTATTACTTAGACACCACACATTCTTAGCAAGAATTTTCCATCGACTTCACTAGATTGTATTTTTTTATTTGGGCATTTAAAAAAAAAAAAAAACCACAAACTACTGATCTATGAGTTAACAAGGTCACCTAAATAAATGCATTAATAACATATACAAGGAATACAGAATAAAGAGTGCAAACTTTTTTTTCTTTTACATGAGAGAAGGGAACTTAAAATCAGTAAGAGCTGGAAAGCCAGTGAGGAATTAGGGAGATAATTCATTCTGAAGTAATTTTTTATTTGTCTCTGTGGATTAGCATTCCACATTAAACCTGTAAAAAAAAAAAAAACCCAACACATTGGCTGAATTGTTTCAAATCTATCTTCCACCAAATCCCCTCAAGTTACATAACATAAAAGATAGAACATGAAATGATTCTGCACATGAAACTACAGATCTGAGCAAGATGGAAGTTACATCAAATTAACTCCAGAAAAACTACTTTTGTTTTTGTGTTAAGGGAGTTCGCAGTACTCAAAGTCCTTTAGAACTCAAGACTGGATTTCGCTTATCTTTGGGAAAAATCAGAGCCTTGGGGAACAATGTATCTCATGCAAATCTGAAAAGAATAATACCTGAAAGAGGTCACAAATCTATGTTTGGATCAGAAGAACAAAAAAGGTTGAGTAGTTACATTGCATTCTTGAGTTTTCACAACATGCTGCAAAATATCACAAGGCAGTAGCAAATACTCAAACCTTAATCTGTCATTTTTGTGAAAGAAAAAGCAGAGATTCCAGAAAATAGCAAATAGACAATATGCACTTCTACAGGAATCTTTTGTATCAGATTCCACTGCTACAGCACAGAGCACAACTTCCTAGTTGATTATTAATGATACATGTACTACTTTCCTGAACACTTTGTCAGTAACAAGTAACTATTACAAGGGAAAGAAAACAAACTAAATAGGAAAGTGATTATTTGCTTATCAGGATAACCATTCAGAGCTGAAAAATTGGAATAAAAATATACCTTTGGACAAGGAAGCTCTTTTCAAAACACTTCCTAATTTTTACCTAGATAGAAAATCATGGAAGAGGCAGGGAAGCCAAAGACAAGCTAGACATGCTAAACAACCCTTATTGCAATGAGAAATTGCAGGGAGGAATGCACATCAAGTAATATTATCGATTGATGGAAAATCTTGTTGGAGAAGAACGCATTGATTCCACCTTAACAGTACCAGCCACTAATACATATGAGAAGTCAAAAAATGCACAGAACTGTAACAAGATAAAAGGAATATTTAGGAATCCCTTTGAACAATCCAAATAGTATATCTTAGGAGGGAGGGTTGCTCAATTGTTTTTTCTTTGAATGTACAGAATTGCTTAAGCTTCAGTTTGATGAACTTGAAAGGTTATAGTAGATAAGATCTACACTGGAAGACTCATCATTGCAACATTTCAAAAAAGTGAAACGCTTGTTCCTTGCTTCTCATTAGAGGTATGCAATTATACAGTATGCTATCTCCTAAAGTTTGATTGTTTTAGTAAACTGCAAGATACAAATTTTGAAGCAAAGTTTCAAGAACAGAAAATCTCTCCAGTGAAAAACACAGAGCTACAATGGTAAATTCAACTGTTTGGGTTTTCCCCAAAAAATCTACCTAATAACATATTTACATTTACATATAAGCATTGCTTCATTTCAGAGATGGAGGGTAAAAATCAATTGAAACCATGTACTGACATATGCGTGATCAACACATGAACACTCTACAGATAAGAGCTGGAAGTGTTAACTGCGGGAAACTGCAAGGAGGGCTGAGTACTCAAGGCAATGGTGAAAAAGAACAAGGTTACTGTCGTTGCAAGCCAACGTTAATTAATAGGAAACTTCTACTCTGATGAATAAACATCCGGTTTTCTATTCTTTCTCATTTTTCCCTTTTATCATGCACACAGATCATTCTGAAAGTAATGCCTCATTTATTTCAGTGGAAATGACAACAGATACTAGAGCCAGCATCCCGTGCTTGTAAAGATCTGTCCCAATGGAGATGAACCACTATTTCACGGCTGCTATGACATCATTGTTGCTACAAAAAGGTTGCCCATAGAGTCCATTGTTCATCTGCCTGAACAGATTTGAGTCAGAAGGTGCCGAATCCTCACTATGCAGTGGGTGGGGTAGGACAGTCCAGCCAAGAATGGCAATGTGCTCCAGAGTTTTCATTCTGGTATGGAGCCTGGTATTATCATGCTTCAAGAGAAATATGGTCTTCTTCTCTTGCCAGACTCGGGAAGTTCAAGCCTTCAGCTTAGTCAGCATCATGACGTTGTGTTCAGAATCAATTATTTGTCTGGGTTCCAGGAAACGCAGAAGGATCATCCCTTTCCTATCCTAATACAATACATATCATTCTACCTGCTGAGGGCTGTATATTGAACTTTTTCTTCAACAGGAAATTCATGTTGCCACTCCATGGACTGCTGTTTTAATTCCAGCTCATAGTGGTGATGCTGTGCCTCATCATCAGTAATGATGTAATCCAAGAAACTGTCACCTTCAGCTTCTTACTGGTTGAGTAGGTCATGACAAAATTGCATACAGCGTACTTTCTGTTCCTGTATGAGCATTCGTGGGACTCACACAGTATAAACTTTGCAATATTCCAGTGTTGCCAACATCATTTCCAATACACTGAAGCTGAAGTTCAGCTCTGTACAGTTCCCTTGTCATAATCTGGTGATTTGCGTGGGTGAGCTGTTTGAGACTTTCTTCATTTCATGGTGTGACAGCCATACATAGCCATCCGGAACATGACTTGTCCTTCATGTCACTGTCACCACTGCTGAAATGTACCACTGTGATAACATCCACTGCTTGGTCTCCATAAACATTCAGCAAACATCAATGAATGTCAATGGATATAATTTCTTCTGCATGGAAGAATTCAATTACACACTTTGCTTCACACACACTTTCATGTCAGCCACCATTTTGTCAAACTGCCCCTCTACTGCCATCTGTAGCATGGCAATAAAACATAATGGAGTACTGGTGGGAAGGTTCAACTTCTACTGCCACATCAATGATGTTCACCTCTGATGTCATGGGCCAATATTATAAAATGGGAGGCATTACCTTTGCAGCAACCCTCGTAGAATAGAGCACATTCTTATTTCTGCAGCCATCCAATGCCCACATAATACTTGCCTGTTTTGTTTTAACGGTCAGACTTACCGGTTTTATGTCCCTGTGCAGGAATCCTACAGAGTGAATACTTTCAATAGATTCCAAAATCTGCCTCCCAAGCCGCAGAGTGGTACTAATAGTGAATGTTCCCCGAGACTGGCTCCGACGCAGGTCTGCCAGATTTCGACCCTGTCAAATTAAAAGGACATTAAAAAAAAAAACAAAAAAAAAACCAACCTAATATCAACATTCTCTGATAGCATAAAGTCTTCCTCTCACATCTTTAGCTATAGTGGTTTACCACAGAATATTCTTATTACTTGTTTTCATATTCAAGAATAACATAGCTAGTGAGCAGATGTTCCCAAATATCTACAGTATTAAGTTTACAAATTATTTTTAAAAATATTAATTTTAGTATCTTTAGTATCTATAGCTAAATAACATGGACCAAAATAATCTCTAGAAAACAACACACATTTCTCCTTCAAGGATGTTTGAAAAAAAGTCAGAGAGAAAATATCCACAAAGACAACGTTACATTCATTTGTTTATGGAAAAGTATGTAATTTGTTTAATTAGTGAATATATCTTAGATGTTTTAATGAAACAAATGAAAAATATTCATATGATGCAGTAAATACACTCCTATGACATCACTGAACCATTGATCTATCAAAATAACCAACAATCAACAATATGACTAACAGCTCAACTCTTCCTCCAGCATCACATCCACTAGGACCAGCCACTTCTTCATCCAGCATTCATATTCATCAAGGTGATGCAGAACAATAATACCATAATTTTAAGTATTAATCACATATTTTATCCTTTTTTGTTTTTTTATAAACTTGCAAAGAGTTGTTAGCATTTTTGGATGAAAGTTTAAAAAACAAAAAACAAGATGAAAAGACAAGCACACTATATTTTAGACTACCTCCAAGTGAAGTCTTTAAACGAATGTGCATTATCACAGAAAACCTCTTCCTTTCAATAGTCAAAGCTTTTTAATGATGGAAACTTTCTCCTCTTTGAGAGTATATGAAAGATAATGATACAAGGAGAGGGTCAATTCAAATTAGCTCCGTACTACTGATTAAATTTGAATTTTTTTTTTCATTTGCCATTCTCTAAAATTATACTTTCCTCATACTATTTTCAAGTTTGGGTAATAAAACTAAACACACAAGCAAACATCTGAGCTTTGTTTGGTACACTTACCTGCAACTGCATGACCACATAGTTAAATCTGTCATTCCTTCCACATCCAATGAATCTACAGACATGATCCTTTCCTGAAGGAAGAATAAGAAGAAACAAATTAGGCAATAATAATGAAAATATGTGTTTTTTCTCTTTTATATTCCTAGTAAGTAACAAGAAAAGCTCAGACAAAACCCTAGAACTTAATGTTACAACTTCCACTTCATTTGACAGAACAGTTTCCTACTTAATAGCTCCTTAGGAAGCTCCCTGCCAAACACCCTTTGAACATATTTATTTAAAAACAAGCAAAGAAACAAAGAAAAAAAACCTCACGGTTCATCAAAATAATTTCTGAACTGATTTTGAAACAAATCTCTACAATTCCTGCAAATACATAACTGCCAAACAATAACTAACATTGCTTTTTCTATGTCTTCCTTCCACTCATTTAAGTGAGATGGAAAGCATTATGGACAATACAGTTTTATAAAAGATTTACAGCAAATTTCTCAAGATGAAGTTTTGTATATTCATTGCTTCCATTTCCAGTTAATGAATTCACATCTCAAACATTTATGACTCACTTTACAGTCACTGTGGGTATGCTGAAGTAGAACCACATCAGTCCACTTTTTCATGGTGAGACTTATCTAAGAACTCCAGTAAGCGCCCAAAACTTGGTTTGTCCAAGTAAATCCCTTTTATCTGAAGCCTCAATTCCAACTGTGTGGTAAATTCTTTGGAAACTAACTTTCATTAAAAAACTGAAGAAGTGACAAAGGGCAGAAGTAGGGCCTAAACACATTATTCAAATAACCTAATTCTCTTACACTTCAGTGTAACACTGTGTACCTATTACACCTTTGCAGATACCTTGAGATCCTTTTCTCTAAGTGTAAAACATCTGTAAGCCTGTGACTGGAGAGTAGTGAGGAGAAACAAAACATGAGTAGGCTGCAGCAAATGGCTACGGCCTTGGAAAGATTTCTAGCCAGAGAGGAGCAACAACCATTCCTTAAGCTGCACTGTATCACTACAGCTAGTTTTGTGGACCACACCAGAGGGAACCCATCATCAAATTATGCTGCAGAGATGTAAATGAGTGAGATAAGAGTTGGTGAGGTTGTGAGACAGAAACCAACTGAGGGAGTCTCACTCTCGCTGAGTGAGATACGACAAATCTGTCTTCTCTGATCTGACTGTGTGAACAGATGGCCTAGCAACATGATTAAATAGAACAACCATCTGTTGCAGCAGATTTCTTTTAAAAAACCGTTCTTAAAGAGTTAAACAGTATTCTGCCAACAAGAATTAGGTGACAGCATCATAAGCATGAAAAAGTAAATAACCAAATAAATGAAGGAAACTATTGGGAACTGAACTATAATAGATGGCCGTATCAGTCAACATACTCCTCCCACATAATTATGAGATAAATCATATAGCTACTCATATATTCAAGCATGTTTTGATAGACCAGGGTCTTATAAGAGCTTCTTTGAAGTTTTTTATTATTCACTTCACTGCATATCTACAAAGTTATGACTCATTTCACTCCTGCAATGAATGACCACACTGCTTTAATTTTCAAAATATCTCAAAGCAAAAATAATAAAAAATACTACAGCCCTGCAGTTCTGCCAACAGCTATGCTCATTTCAGTTTCACAGTTGCTGTGAAATAATATTCTAGTACAGAAATGCTCTAAAGCGTCATCATAACCATAAGAACGTGTACAGTTCTAGCAAAGACTGAAAGATTTGTTTGGCTGGATTGGGACACATTACACCTACTCGCTTCCTTAAGCCTGTTTCTTCCTAATTTTTCCAGAAAATATATGAGATTATACATATTTTTAAATAGATCAGCCCCATACATCATGAGAATTCTGAACAATGTCACCTTACGCTAACAGTGGGGCAACACCATGCCTTTCATTACCCACTAGTCACAGAGGAAACCTTCCAAATATGTGCAAGAAAAGGATTTTCATGACAATTACATTCCATCTGATTTACATTCAAAGTATCTACAACACCTTGGAAGACAACATTGGCTCTTTGAGAACAGAATAAGAATTATACACATACATACTTATATTGATATGTGCCAAAAAGGGATAGAACAAGATAAAAGCTGCTTTATCACTGGACATTTGCTATTAGAAGGTAGTTACAAAAGTATCCTAAAGTAATTGTCTACAATTTCACATTTTCTAAATCTGTAAGCCTATGGAAGAAAAAAAAGTCAAAAATAAGAAAAAAATACTATACAAGAAACAAAGCATTTAATAAAAATATATTCTTTGGGAAGCAACAACAAGAAGTTTTTCTCCCCACATAATCCATTTTTCTTGGTTTTCTTTCTCCAACAGATTTGTAGCACTTTGAAAACTTATGAAGGCAGAAAAGTTAATGGAAATGGCTCCTAAGTGTCTAGATTTTATGTGAACTAGTTTGCTCTACCATAATCCAACATCCTATTTAAAATAAAATCCGTCAAATACAGATAAAAATACACTCACATAGAAATCAAGCTACATATCTGTGTGAACTATAGATCTCAACATTACCATAAAGTTCCTCCTTGTCTCGTCAGTTACCAAAGTCACTTTTCCTGATTATACACAACATTTGTCATCTAAAGTCAGAGCAGTTGCACTGTATTGTGCAGTCTGAACAGCAATAACCAGTGGTCACTTCCTGCGTTACTATCATAAAAGCACAGGCTTCTCTTCTTTTTGTTTGTTGGCTTTTTTTTCTTTTTTTGTATTTTGAAACTGTGCAGCAGAACAATTAGAGATAAAAAAATAATATTATTTAGATTGTTTTCATATAAGAAAGGTTTGTCAAAAAAGTATCTTCTAAAGTGGTTTTATGAAATCAGTTTTTCAGTTATGTAAAAACTTCCAATTATTCCAACAATTATTGAGAAAATAATCAACAAAACCCTAGAGGTCATTATTTGCATAACATATGTGAATTGTTTGCCTCTGTGGATCTGTTGTTCAGGTGTGTCATTACTCAGTTCTTTGCATCCAGACAGCATTCCCCAAGATTCAGTAGAATTAGTGAGTTAAATTCCCAAAGTAAGATTGATAAAAAAAATTACAACTTCTGTAAGGTCCTACAGCAATATTTGGAAATGACCATTTCAGCCAAAAGAGGTAAAGAAGTTAAAAGTTTTTAAGGAAAAAAAAGAACCTTTGTAACCATTGAACTCAAACTTCACTGTACTTAAATTCAAAGTAGAAGCTTCTAATACAGTATTTTGAATTAAAATTCAAGTTGTTCAATTAGTATTAAAGTTACACCTCTAGACTAATGCTAATGTTCAAAGAAAACTAATACAGACTCCCTGAATCTTCTTTCTCAGCTGCGTATTAATAGAGGTTTTTGTGAAATTCTTTAAAAAGTTATGAACATAGGAACAGTTTGTTAACACTATCACATGTGACATACTTGCCCTCTTAAATCTATAGAGGCTGTCAATTTCTGTAGCAATGTGACCTTTACAGCTGATTAGGCAGCACCATATGTCATGCAGATTTTGTTTTATTCAAACTCAGAGTTCAGAAAAAATCTGGCTGCTGACAGAGACCAATAGATTAGTCACAGTCTTCCAGATAAAGAAAAAAGTCCTTTTATTCAAACATTTTTCAAACACATATTTTCAAAATATTTTTAAACACTCCTTTTATTCAAATATTGTGAAAAGCAGTGAAGAGAGACCTCTGCACACCTGCCTGTGTTATTAGCTTCAGACCTCAGAGTATTAAAAGGTGAACTGAAAGTGAGTATCCAAAGCCACAATTCTGAATAGTCAAGGAACTGAACTCTAGAAGTATTCTAGATACTAACAATTACTTTTTCTACGAGTTACAGGATTTAAAATTTGTGGTTTGGGGGTGGTTTTTTGTTACTGTTGTTGTTGTTTGTTCTGTTTCCTGTACGCTGTTGTTGTTTTTTTAAATTATGCTTCCAATTTCAAGCTTAGAAAACTCTTTGCAAGTACTGACAAAAGAAAAAGAAGTATTCTTATCACTGGTGCTATATGAAGGATCAGCAATTCAATGCTAAATTGGTTTTTTTGTTTCCTCTTTTTAAACGTCCCCTTTTTCTGTACCAAAAAAAAAAAAAATCTAGAGCAAACAGATCCAGAATAAAGTACAGCTGAACACAGGTTCTGAAAGCAATTTAATTTTTCATCTTTTTTTCTCATTTCATCCTGTTTCAAAGAAAAGGTTCATTGTAGCAAAACTTCTAGAGGCCAAATAATTAAAAATTTAGAGAAAATGGGGAGTACTTACTCGAACTATGACTACGTTGTGATTCTAATTATTTTTTAACAGATACACTGACATGCTACTTCCTGTATATCCGGGATATAATCCTACCTTGCAATTTCTTCAACACAGCTACTTCCATTTTCAGCACTTGCTTTGGCTGCTGAGCTGATTCGACCTTCAGCGCCACATTCTCCCGAGTAAGCAAGTCCAACGCATCGTAAATTTCTCCAAATCCTCCACCTCCTATTTTCCTTAGCTACATCGAAAAAAAAACACAAAGAGAAAAAAAAACAGATTAGAAAAGGAGGAGAAGAAAGGAAACAAAACAGCAGTAGTTCTTCAAACTGTCTTCCAAACTGCAAACACTGTCATACTAGATTTCAGATTAATATAATTGTACTCTTTACGAAGTAAAGAGCTATTGAAAAATCTACAAATATATGGTTAACTGCATCAAATTTGGAAGAGAATTCTAGGCAAACAAGTTAATACACACAATACCTATCTGCACTAAACTTCCTCAATTTCACACAATATAATAGTACAACTCCCAGCACGAATCTGGCCAAAGTCAGCATGCTGAATATATGCTTTCCTCAAATAGCCATATGCTACCCAGAGACCTTCAAAAAACAAATGTACGGTGACATTTTAAAATAAGCTATCTTCCCTTCAGAAATATAAGCACCAAATACTAAAGGTACAAAGCTTCTTGTGAGTTACTACAAAAAGACAGAATTTTCTATTCTGTGCAATGACTTACACATGACTAAAAATGGCTAAGATTATCTTTGAATATGTATATTAAATGTTACTTATTTACTTATAGTTCTCTAACACCATTTTTATTATCAGACATATTAAAGGAACAGGCACCAATAGAAAATTCATCTGGTTGAGGAGGAGGTAAAAAAAATGCTCCTGACATACACTACTTTCAGAGCAAATACTGATAGTTGTGTTTTCACTCTGCTCATAGGAGACAAGAACCTGTCTCTTCTAGTATCAAAATGTCAATGCTATTCCACTGAATGTTCTCATATTGTGAACTCTCCTGTAGCTACCATTCTTCAACTGATACAGGAGAAAAGGAGACAAAACAAACTTACCCTAAGGAACATGCTTACTTTTCATTTCAGTTTTTTAAAATATATTTTAAAAGAATGACATGATTTTTTAAACATCATTTGAAAATGTAGATTTGCTAAGGTTATCTGACTACGGTAAATTAAATACTACCTAGCAATTTTCACTTCTAGTCTCTCATTGTTACCTTTAAAAACATGCACTGTGTAGACAGCACATTACATTAAGACTTCATAACTAACCCACCTACCTATCCCGCTCAAACAGCTGAACATAGATGTCTATTTGACAGTAGTTTTCAGCATAAGCACTAATCTAAGTACAGTGAGGACAGTGAAAATGCACATTAGAAAGGTGAAAAAGGATAGAGAGAGTCACTTTCGTCACTTCTAGACTTAGAGCAGTTAATCACGTAATTTCAATTTATCAGCTTTGAGATATGGCCAGACTGGGCAAGACTGCCTCTGAAAGGCTTTTTTTCCTGCTTGTGGGCTAAAAGAAACAAACAAGCAACCATATTAATAAACAGATCAATTTCTGTCATCAGATGAAGTACACCAGAATCATTAACATGCATCCAATAATCATGGCACACGATAATTCCAGGCACAAATTAACTTCTCTTTGATGACAGAAAAATCATTTTTCACCTCCTTTTCACTAGGTCACATATGAAATTCAGCAATGAGCTCACACTTTCTTTGGTCTTCCTTTTGTTGCCAACATTCCTATAGAAGTCTTTTGGTTACTTTTCATATATCTCCCAAGTTTCAACTGCAGGCTGAGCTCTGGTTTTCTTAAATTCCATTTTCCTCTCAGGCAGCCCAGCCCCTTTTCCACCTTCTGTTCAAAAACATCTTGCTTTTGAGTTAAGACAGAAGTTTTCGCTCATACTGGTATCCTGCTACATCTACTCAATGTCTTCTACCTCGACAAGGATGCTGTTGTGCTTTTTCACACCTACACCACAGTCTTCCACTCTGCACATGAGTTTCACACATCCCATCTTTGCATTCAGCATCTCATCTCATTCTCTGCATCCTCTTCTCCACTGCTCTCTTCCTACGCTTCAAGCCTGAAGTATATCTTTTCCAACTTTTTTTTCTTTGGGCTTTTTGTTATACTGCACACCAAATTACGGTCTTAAATCTACCTATAAACAACTATAATTACATTCAAATTTCTCCAGCTCCAAAGGCAAAGAAAAGGGACTAGAAAGGCATTGATACAGGGAGCCAGTGCTAACTGAAACTAGTATAGAGAGTGAAACTGAGAAGAACAAGCACTTTTATAAGATCTTTCCTATGTTTATTTCCCAAACTAGAATTATCATGAAAAATACCTACATAAAATAAAATTTATTTGAGCATAGGTTTAAAAAATGGTCATATCCAAAAACTCCAGCTGTGATTTTATTATTACAAAACCAAAATCCTGAGCAGCAAAAATTCTCAGTTCTACACTGGCTGCAAATCTACATGTAATTTCCAGAATGCGCATATATGTATTTTAATTGGTTGCAATAGAATACTCTCATGCAATCAAACTGCAGGGTTGTCAATCTTCAATGGGGAGAGAGAAAGCAGGATATCAGAGAACTCCACAAGGAACAGAGAGAGCACTAATAGGGGTCAGCGATCCTTCATACAAAATCTTGAAGTCCACTGCCTTATACCACCTCATCTTCCTCCTCAAGGAAATTTTGCTATTACTTCAAGAATCCCAGCAAAAATAATCAATAATTATTTTATGCTAGATTATGAAATACGTTTAAATACACTTATTGAGCTCGGTAGAATTGCTGAAATCTGCATGATACTCATTTTCGCTGGCAGACTTGAAATAGGATGCTTGATTGATTACCAAAATGGTTGACATAATCACTAGCTAATTGGATTGAATATCCTAACAAGGAGTACTTTTAAAAATGAAAAAGAATTGCAGGAAGACATACTTACCACCTTCCATCTTTCTTTGACCAAGATTCCCACAGTGAGGATGTCAGGCTGTTCCCCACCTCCACTCATTGCAACCTCCTGATGTGATGGAGCTGCTATGCCAAGTTTGTGTCAGTAAAAACCATCCAGATCCCAGGAGCGGCTTCCATTTAACCACTGGCTGCAGAATAAGAGCAGAACATAAGGTAACACTGGCAAGAAATACAGAAAGTTACATTTCTCACATAGCATGTTAACTAGGATTTTTGTATCCTATAGTGACCCACGCTAGAATTACAGCCAAGCAACTTCCAGTAGAGAAAGAAATCCAAGTATGCTGTTCTTTATATATATTTTTAAATCTATTAATAAGAATATGTAGGCAGTTTCAAACTGCTGTAAATTATAAACACTTTTATTTTAATAACAATAACTTTTAATCAACTAAATAATTAACACTTCGGTAGATAATCAATTAAGTAATAGTAATATATAATATCAACTTAGAAAAAGATATTAGCCTAAAAATTACACAATTAAAAATAGATACTTACATTGGAATTGCAATTTATTTTTAATTTATTGTAACGCCTACCAACTACTTCATGTTTTACAATGTAGTTCACATACTTAGTATTACTTAGTATTACTATGTCTGCAAGTACAGTTTCACTGGTTTATGTCAAGGTACAAACAACTAAATAAAATAAAAACACCTGAAAACAAAAAAAAAACAAAGACCTAAAACAACTTGTGTTGAGCATTTCAGTTTAATTCTTTTATAGTTTAGAGTTGATTACCAAAATCCAGGAAATAACTCTAAACTTTATAGTTTAGAGTTGATTACCAAAATCCAGGAAATAAAAGAATACAGCAATTTATATACTATATTTTGAGGGGAAGGGAAGGAAGATTATCCACATATAATGGTTCTCATCAGCACCTACTCTAACCACTTAAGAGCTTACTTCAATTCTTTGCTACCAGCTTTTCTAGAATTGTGCTTGTTACACCGATACCGTGATAGAAGCTCTCTTATTCAATAAGACTCTTCAGAAGTGTATTTGATACAGTTTTATTTCAATCACTTCCAAAGAGCATAAGCTAAAATTGAAAAATCCTCTCACCCTAGAATCAACACCCTAATGATAAACACTGCCACAACCATTCTGATGTAAATTCATAGGATCTCTTTTCACATGTAGAAATGCTCAGTTTAATACCATGCTTAAGTAATACCTAAAAACCACAAGAAATAAAACTAACAAAACTCTACTGCTTAATGAATCGAAGACAGAGGTTTAACACAACAGTAATTAAATTTCGTTGCATTTTTGTTCTATATTCATACTCTTTCATACTCATTTTTCCTAATTCATTTATGCCTTTTTCACTTCAATTGTAAATTCTTACATTTGAGCCAAACAAAACAGAAACCTCTGGAGAAAAACTTATCTGAATTAGTTGAAGACTTAAATTTATACCTAATTAATTAGAGTGGATTAGATACCTGTGAAAGTACACTTATTAAGAATACGCAGCTTGAATCAGTTTAATTCAAACAAATGAAAGGAAACCAAATTAAGACTGTATATTCTGAGTGTCCACCCTGGAATTTAATCAAGTTGAACTAAACCAATTTCCATTCTACTGGTGCTGGTAAATTCTTCCCATAGATAAGGTCAAAATTATACAGCAAGTTGTAGTAATTTAAGTTAACACTCTTAGCATTACTGAACTGCTGACTATAATTACTGTCCTTTTTGATTGGAGTTATCGTAACACAGACAAGAACTAAGTAAGCTAAAGAGAAAATTAAACAACAGTAACAAGTTGATAGAGGTCTATTAAACACCTCTAAAATTACATGTTTACAGCATGCTCCATGATTTTTCCATTTGTTCCATTCTTTGTTTACCCTTCCACCCCTTTCCAATTATGTGGTGTTTTTCACTAAGTACTGTGTTTACTCCTATGTCTTTCTTTATTTTCCTACTTCTTTTATTCCCCTGGCACATGTTTTGTTTATTTATTTAAAAAAAAAAAAAAAAAAAAAAAAAAAAGCAGTGCAGAAAGTATTCATCTGCTTGGAATGAGATCAAAAATTGACAAGTTTGAATTTTGCTAAAGCTTTCTCACAAGAGAAATTCATCTTCTGTAGAAATAATAAATACTCTGTTAAATACATGACAACAATGGTTTTAGAATTTTGTACTGGTATTCAGCCTTGATCTAGTATCAATTAAATAGCTTTTTAATATACATTTCAAATCATAACTTATAGTCACAGCTCTGATAATATTTCTGAGATCTCTCAATTTCCAAAGTCTTGAGCACACTATGAGAGCATCAGTAAGTAGCCCAGAGTGCAGTGTTACCATACAGATGTACACCAACAGAAACATACCACATTTTTAAGAATTACCTTAAAAGTACCATAATGCTATAGATAACATCTGCCTGGCCGGGATAAAAATCTTCTTCATTTATGTACAATTCCTCAATCTTACTCATAAAGAATCAGAACATCCCAAGTTGAAACTCATCCACGAGGATCACTGAGCCCAGCTCCTGGCTCCCAAAATCCAACATCTATATCTGAGAGTGGTGTGCAAACACTCCTTGAATTCTGGCACTTGGGACTGTGATCACTGCCCTGGGGAGACAGAGAAGAAACTTTTCCTAATACCCAGTCCACTCCATGCCGTTCCCTTGGGTCCTGTCACCGTCACCAGAGAGCAGAGATCAGCCCTGCCCATGCACTACCCTCATGAGGAGCTCTAGGCCACCATGAGGCCTCCCCTCAGTCTTTTCTTCTCTATTCCACTATATTGACTCCTTGTTAAATCTCTTGCCATCCTATATCATTACAAAGCAAGAAAATTTATTCTACATTATCACTGACTAGTATTTAAAACACCAAAAACTGAGGATCCATTAAAGAATTGTGGACAGGATGTGGTTCTCTCCTGACCCCTGATGCTAAATAGCACCCCTAAAGTGCTAATTACCTCCTGAAGCTTAAGAACCTAGCATACTTTGGTGCACATAAAATAGCCAAGCACTGTTTCATCTAAGAAAGACAAATGTTGCAAACATGTTGCAGTTAATTTGGACAACTTTGTGTTCCCCAAATGTAGGAGTCTTTAAGTACGTAGATTTCAAGACCACAAGAGCTTACAATTAGTCAGAACCTCCACCCATTCAGGCAGCTCTTCACCCTCTGCAGTGTACATGCACACATACTTGGTCATCAGAAGCAGCAAGTTCCGCGCTCTCCTCCATAAAGCATTCTGTCAAGTCCCTTCCCTCGCAGTGAGCAGATGGTTTTCTTTCAAGGTTTAACTGTCTAATTTTAGTTTCTTACCACAGGACTTTGCCACACTTTTGGAAACCGAGTTCCAGTCCTGCTAATTTTACCTCATTTAAGCATCTAAACACAGAGATCAAATCATTTTTAACCTCCTCTAAATTAAGCCTTCCTTCCTATCCCATGGGTCTTCTCTGTGGTCCTCCTTTGAGAAGCCTCTCCTTGCTCCACATTCTTCCTGTGGTATGGGCAGCAACTCCCAGTTAGACACTCACACTGAATTACACTCGATTATACCAATGCTTAAGATGGAGAAAAGATGAATGTTGTTTGTTTATGCTAAGTCTTTTTCCCCTAATTTAAGTCCAAAGCTGATTTACATTTCTGCAAAATCACAGCTGTATCAGATGCTTACATGCCTACACTGCTGAGAGAACAGGATTCCTTTAAAGCTTTTATTCACACTCTGACATAGACTGATTTTCACTGCTCTGCTGTGTGCTCTGATGACCTTAACAAATTTTCAGTTTCAGTGAGTTAAGAATTATTATTGCACTGCACTGTGTAAATATCTTGACAGAAAACACACACACTTAAAATTCATATGGAAAGACATTTTTGGAGAGGGCTGCCTTTTAGGGACTTTTTTTTGGAGGTGGTGTTCAGGACAAAACTGAAAAGTTTCTGAATTTTAGCGGACTCAAATTCAGATACATTCTAAATGCCACAGATGACTAGGAAGTGCATAAAAACACAGACAGTTCCATTCATATTACTGAAATACAGCCAGCTATTGCTTTCAGCAAAGCAGCTGAAAACTTTACAGTGGTGGTAAACAACGCAAGAACATTCCAGCATGTTCCATATCCTACTGAAGCAAATGAGTAGTTAATGACATACAGTTAAGGTGCAAGCTTTCCCTTACTCAATCGACGGAGGAGTCTTTTAACAATGCAGTTCTACAAGTGGCAGTTAGGCCATTTTCTGCAAAATGAACTTTTCTTCACTGCTCTCCTAAACAACAACCACAACTTTAATGGCAACACATTTCATGAAATTATATATCCATCAGTTTCACTATCAGATCAGTTTATGTCAAGAGAGTAAATGAACAGGACAACAGAATTACCACAATTAAAGGCAATTATCCCTTTGGCAATTTAATTTCCAGGTGACAGTTCATGGAGTAATTAGGACAAAATAATAAGTGCAGATTTTGTTCTGCAACAAAAGTCTTCCTTTGTCTGGGAACTGACCACAGTATAATACAATTAAAGGACAAGTGGTGCTTATAACCAAATTTAATATTGTACAAACAGCATTCAATATTCAATACTCTTCTACCCACTTAAACCGCTTATAACTACTTATCATCTACCCAAAAGAACTCTTTAATTTAACCAACCAAGTATATTAAAACATTACACACAGTTAGACAAAGCAAAACTTTCCCTAAGAACTGTCATATATCTAAGAGCTGACTCTAATTCAGAATGGAAAGACTGTCATGAAATTTGTACACGTGTATACTTGTGTATATTAGAATTTCTTCAGAAACAGCCTAAATGGAAGCCAATATCTGCTAATCAGCCTTTGTAGATGTTAAAATCTAAACATAAGGGTGAGAAAGTAGTACAGTGTTGGCTGAATGTAGTCACAGGACAAAACAAGTAGGGACGGAAGATTACTTCTGTTCCACAGAATATATGTATAGACATATGTACATGTGTTTGTATATATGTACATACATATATGTATGTATATATCTCCTATGGCCACTTCTGTGGACTAATATCAGCATTTTGCTATTAAGAACTCCTATGTAATTAGTGCTGTATGGCTGCCTTCCAAAGTTGCTTGCCACTTCTGTA